GGGTACATTGAATCTGTGATATAAGTTATAACAGTCGGAGACCCGGCCATACATTGTTATACCAGGTGGTAACATCAATTCAGAGAAGTCGCTGGGCCTTGGTAGTCGGACCGTCGGAGGACGGTTTTGAAAGAGATTTGAGGCACATGCGTCCAAAATTAATCTTTGTTTACCTGGACCTCTTGATACTGCAAAAACACCATTGACCACTTGCATATGGTCTTCTTGTAAAATTCAACCATGCCAAGGGCCTGTTGACGCTCTAGCAGTTTTACGTCCTCCTGGCGAGTATACGCTCGCAGACCGGGACTCTGAATCACTTGTTGCGTCTTCTATCATCATTCCTCGAGCTCTAAAGAGTGTTTAGCGTCAGCTTTAAGCAGACAATACAGTAGTGGTACTGATCCAGCAATAATTTCCTTTAGAAGCTATGTCTTTCCTCTCATATAATTCATCCATTCCTGAACGTGAGCGGTCCGCATGTTAGTACTAAGTCGGATCCATTCTCGCTCTTTCTCATAAACTCGGTCCTTTCTTTCGCATGCCCTACTCTCTACTCCAGACATTCGGTTCAAATATTATTATAGTGTGCAACAATCTGAGCCTTCAAATAGTGTTTAGCGACAGCTATAAGCAGACAATCTAGTAGTGGTGCCGATCCAGCAATACTTTCTTTGGAAGCTGTGTCCTTCCTCTCACATGATCCATCCCCATCCTGAACGTGAGCGGTCCGCATGTTAATACTAAGTCGGATCCATTCTCGCTCTTTCTCATAAACTCGGTCCTTTCTTTCGCATGCCCTACCCTCTACTCCAGATAATCGGTTCAGGGATATTGCATATTGTTATAGTGTGCAACAGTCTGAGCCTTTAGGTAGTGTTTAGCGACAGCTTTAAGCAGACAATCCAGTAGTGGTATTAATCCAGCAATACTTTCCTTTGGAAGCTGTGTCTTTCCTCTCACATAATCCATCCATTCCTGAACGTGAGCGGTCCGCGTGTTAGTACTCAGTCGGATCCATTCTAGTTCTTTCTCTATTACCGGGTTACCAATGAAGGTCTAATATAAGCGTAGTAAAACCATACGAAGCTTGTATTGGAAAACATAAACTACAACCTAAAATGTAAATGGGGATTTCCTTAAAAAGGGGGTTTCCCCTGTTCATGAATTAGTCATGACAGAAATCATTCTTAATATATATGCTTAGAGCAGGCACAACAATAAAGCATTTATTCTAAGCTCTTATAATTGACAGTCTAACAACTTGTTCAACATGACGAACATCAAGTGGAAGCCGGAAAACAAACTCAATGGCTCTCATAAACTCGGTCCTTTCCTTCGCGTGCCCTACCCTCTACTCCAGATAATCGGTTCAGGGATATTACCATATGGTTATAGTGTCCAACAGTCTAAGCCATAGTTGCTCGCAAATGTCGTCCACGGACTGTGATTTCTGATAAGTGACATGTAAATCGTGTCTGCTATGCGCATTTTCTTGGCGGGGTTTAGATGTTGCCCTGGTGCCCGGGTGATTTGCATCCGACACATCTCTCCTAAAGCGATTTAGCCTTTTTTTTTGGCATCCTTGTCCTTCGCCTCCTTTTCTGCCTTGGAATATTCACAGATGAACCCTGTATTTCCTTAAGACCCTTCGCTTGTTTCAGCCACGCTGTGCGAAGGCCGTGAGGCGCTATTAGTTCTTGGTCTGGCCGGTTCCTCGCCGAGAAGATAAAATCTCAGTTGTCTGTTTCGACAGCTGTCTGGCACGCC